GCTATATAATATGTATATAAATAAAACTTAAATTCTTATCAACATTAATCACACCACCTTACACTACACTTTATACATAAATAAATAAAATAATAAAGTTATAAATAATATATACAAAATATTTATTTTTGTTTTTATTTTTTTTATCTAAGTCTTAGTAGTTTAACTACACTTATGTGAATTCATTATGTGCGGGTAATTCATAAAAAGTTTGATATTGTGTACAATATGTTTTTATTAGGTACCCTCCTGTCTCTCAAGGTTGTTTTATGTTATATGTGTATAGTCATACTCGTGCATTAGATATCAATAATGTTATAAACCATTTACAAACTATAAATTGTAAATAATATACTGTCTCTATTGGAAGGACTAACTTCTGCCTAAACTAACTAAACCTAAACTAGGGCGCGCCTGTACAGGCTCGGCCTAGTTTAGATGTTAGTATTCATAAACTGTGTGTCTTATGTTTTTATTACAATAAACACTTTTTATTATTTTATTTATTAATTCCGAAACTTGGTATTCAGGAATTGTAAAAAATATAGTTTTAAAAATTATGTATTAAACAATTTTAATATCCTCATAATATAGAAAATCTAAGATTGCTATTTCTAATAAACACGTTGAAGGGAGAGTAATTATTTTTATTTAGACTATTGTGATGGTTAAGAATAGCTGGTAATAGTTATCTCCGTCACCTCAATAATCCTGACCACTCCCAAGACTAGTTCTTTCCTTGTCCTGTCTTGTTCCTTTTAGATGTATATTCCTAAGCATTTCAGGTATATTATGATATTCTTTGATGACAATAGGCAATTGTAATACAATTTATACAATGCGGGTACATAATATAACAACTTTAAAACAATTAAAAAACAAGCATGTTAGGTTATACAACTTTGAAGGTAACTATTACTTAATATGAAAACTAATAAATATATAGTTTAATATTTCGAAACATAAATCCGTCCTGTGTTGATTCTACAAGTACTTGAACTAATATGAATGAAAAATTAAGTTGATTTCATTTGTTTATTCTTTTTGCGCATTATAATTATTCTAAGTAAACTTATGGGCAAATGGCGTTATAGTGGATGAGGCTTCGGTACAAATGATGAAACATTATTAAAACAATCGAATTATTCAAAAAATCAACAAATTAGTTTAGTTTACGACAACGTAAATAAAAACCTACCGCTACCGATAAATGGTTATTCCGGGTATTTTTAAAGCTATTACTATCACTTTGCTACGCATTGTACTTCATTAATTTATTTATGATTATTTAAACGTGTAATGGTATAAACAATTAATATTTTCTTTTATAACGAGATTGACATAGTTGTAGGTAAACATAGTAATATGGCGGCATGCGAAAAACTGACTACATGACATTATTTGTCAATTTGTGGAGCAGTGTGGCTATAAGTAAAAGAACGAGACGCCATTATTCGGTTGATACTTGACAGAACAAGGACAAAGGATGATGGATATCATATAATTAAGAATTAATGTTTGGTCTGCTTATTGTAATATACGGCTCCAGCACGGCATTGTTTCAAATTTGTCTATCGCTGGCTTCCTACTCGCTTACGGCGCGCAGGCTGCGAAGTGGAATCGCACTGTCACGGAAGCTTCTTGTTGTCAACACGTGTAATAACAACATGTCACAAGGATACTTGGCATTTGCGATTGAGTACGCCAATGATATATGTATGTAGGTTACGAATCCGATGCGACGATATTTCGCTTGACGCCGTCGGACCGCTGTAGTGCTATGGGCGTGCAATAAGCACCTGGCCCGCAAGTTGGAAGCGCGCAGGCGCCTCAACTACGACTCGAGAGGACTGCGCGCTTATTACCCGCCATCGCTTTTTTGTATTGATGTTTTAAAATATACCATATGAGATACGATTTAAAGTTTGTATTTCAATGATAACTTAATTGCTGTGTTGGAGCCGTGTCGGAGTTATGCTGCTTGTTAAGTGTGCGATGACCTTAATGACGAGCCATGTCACGCGACAGATATCTTTCGTATCAATGTGTGTATTCTGCGTACCTATATGTCTATAATAGCCAGGTGCCACAGTCGTTATTTCAAGAGACTATGTCCGCCTTTTTTTAAAAGCCCTTTTATATTGTTCAAGCCATCAAATCTCTATCTTTCAATCTTTTTTCATCGACCTTTTCCTAAAGCTGGTTTTACTGTGTTACCCAAAAAGTACAACACATCTATGGTAGTAACTGAATGACATTTATTATCTGTATCTCTGTATCATATCATAGTTCTTCTTGGTGTAACCATTATTATTTCACATTTCAATTTCTAAATATTGTAAATGAATTAGATTAAAGTTTGTTTAGTAATTCGTCTTCTATCTAATGCAATGGTAAGTAAAAAATTAAACATTTTAATCATCAACTATTATTCAAATATGAAGAAAACAAACATCCAATTTTAAAGGTCAGAGGGCTAATTTAATTTATAATTTTGTTCATTATATAGAAAGATTATAACTTGAACAGTGGGTCCTTTACCGCAGGATTAATATTTTAATTTAGCGAATATAATTCATTAAGTAATTTTGTTAACACAATGCTGAATGGTTTCATTTGTTTGTTGTCTTCCAATAAATAATAATGTTTGTTGATTGAACACCTCAATATTGTGTGGTAAGACAGATTATTTTTCCACTGTCTTTTGATCCTGTATTTTTCATAACATTTTTTTTTATCGCAGTAGGTACCTGCTGTAGTAAGGCCATCATGCCCCGGGATATTTTGAGTGATAGTTTAGCTGTCTTGAGGATAGTTGAGGTATAGTTATATTCTTTTATTTTATTTTTAACAATGAGCTGTAAGTAGTGGTCCTAAGAAAAAGAACATTACAATTTTATTTGCTTCTTAATTTTTGCCAAAAGTTTTATAAGCTAGCATGTATTGTGCTAATGAAGTTGAGGGGCATTTAAATTATATATGCAGGGTAAAATATACACACATGGTCTGTTAAATAAGCAATCTACATTTATCAGAGGTACTTACTGAGACTGCAATTCTTATACTCTCTGGTTATGTAGGAAAGGTTGCCGAAAATCCAATGAGGAGTTAAAATTTATTGCTGGTCAATGCTCTTAGTGAAAAAAATCACTGCCCACCTATTCACACATTGACAAAAACATACCTCTTTAATATTCTCTAATAACATACAATTGAAGTTTAGCGAGTGCCCGCCTTAACAAATTACTGACTATATCACTCCAATTTTACTAAGATTTTACTTTGTCAATACATTTTTTGATGAAACCAAAAAATATATTTGATGGCAATTACACTGCTGAAATATATGCATTTGTTGAACATTCATTTCTCATTGAACCCAAAGGTTAAATTTTATATATTATATACATTATAATTAAATAACTAGGTACTTTAAACTAGAATGTGCATAAAAAGCAGGTTCACTTAGGTGTGCTCCAATTGGAAAGCTAGTCAGTAGTTGAAATTTTACTGTTTTACATAATATAATGTACCTAATTTGACATTAGTAGGCAAAGTACTAAACTGCTAATAAGACATAAATATTGCCTATGTGATACTCCGAAAATATGAATTTTGGAATCTAGTGAGAATCACTGACATCTGATTTCAGTAAGAAATAGAAAAGAGATTTGTGTCTGTACAAAATCTTGTATTGTATTTATATCTCTTGACTTCATGTAGCAAGTGGCTTAAATCAATCCATGCTAGTCAATAAAACATAATATGTTCCGGAATACTTCCCAGTGTTCTCCTTTGAACATAATGTACTATTAAAACTAAGAAAAATGCTTGTATTATTATTATTTCTATTTACCTACATTAGATGCAAAAAGTAAATATGAACAGTATTTTTGTAAAAGCTCAATTTAATATTATCGAAACACACATTACTCTTGCATAAAGTCTTTCTTGTGTATCCATTGACAATAAATAACGCTTCAAAGACTACAATGGATAATAAGTTGTTTTGATATCATTTGCTCTCTCATGAGAAGCTAATCATATGAAGCTTTTATGTACTGTATATGTAATGACATCATTATGTGCAGGGTACTTACATTGCTTATGCAGCTGTTCATTACTAATAATTACACTGTAAACAACGTTTCATTTGATAAGTTGATAAACTTTAAAACATTCCAGTATGTCTTGTAAGTAGCTTTTTGGATTGTGCTGAAAACATTGCGGTTTTTTTTATAATGTATAAACAGTTATCGCATTTGCATGTAAGCATTGCTCCTAGCGATGTATGCTTCACAAGAATCATGATAACTATCAAGTGTGTGATATGAACTTTTGTAAAGGAATCATTATAATTTTATCTTATGTGCCGTGGCATGTACTCAAGTCTGATCCTGGAGTTTAAATATAATTATGATACTTATGATAAATTTAATTGACCTTACATAAAGTTTATATCTTGCTAAACAGTATTTATTTGCCTTTAACACTCTTTTTTCCCAAATGTGATGTTATAATCGTATTACAGCATGAAGATGAGGAGAACTGGCCACTTGAAAACAAACCATCATGTAAACAAAGTAATAAAAAATCATCCAACATTCCTATGAACAGTCAGAAGTCTATAACGAAAGATGACTGCGCCTGTTATTATAATTATGGGTATGATTCATTTTTATTCCTCTTTATATTATATTAGTATAGATGAATTCAGTACATGTTAGGATAGAAGTACTCTATTATTATTACCGCAACTGCCTCAATGTTCGAATGGTCGGAAATGCGAATGCCAGACAAGAGGTTTAGAGTTCGATTCGAGGCAGGCTCGTGCAGAGATAACTCAGTTAATCCAGGTGTAGACTGACACATATTTGTTTAACAATATATCAAAATAGTCTTTGTCTTATTTATTATTTTACAATATCCAACAGCAATCCAATGACATATTTCATAGGATGAAGAGAGGCGTTTATACAGCAATAGCACATTTACAGACTGATATTGTATTGTACATTATGACAAAAATAGTTCTTCTAATGGTATACAGCATAGCATACATTTGTTTCAAATATAAACACCATTCAGAATTTCAGATAGTAGGTACATAATATACAAACATACGCAAATGTGATAAGAACTTTCAAAACATAACAAAACTACTTCAAACTAGTTTCAATAAACCTGTTTTCTTTTGTGATAGAGAATTTAACAGGCTGGCTGACTGGAGCAGGTGTGTGTACCAAAAGAATAAATTAGAAAGTGACAATATTTATGCTACAACTGATGCAGTCTACTCATAATTCAATACAAATAAAGAGGACGGATGGCAATAATTTTGTTGAAACTGAGAGTACATAGGGTATAGGAACAAAAGATAATTTTATCACAGTGACCTTTTGTGTGGCATGTAATCACTATTACTTGATAATTTCCAACTCTTTCCCTTTTATAAAAATAAACTAGTGAGACTCACTATGTGATACTATATAAAATAATTAAAACTATTACGTAATTTCATCCCTGAAGGAGTTGGAGGAGGTACATTACACTGCACCCATCGTTACCAGTTATGTTATGAATCCCATCTAATATTGCTATACATCAGACACAATAATGATTGTGAACTTAAGAGCTGAATCTAATACAATATTTCTTTACAGCCATGGCGACAGCGGAAATGGCAGGCAACATGATCCCGTGTACCAGTACAAAACGAGTAGTCTGCCGCCTGCTTCATCAATCAACCAATCCTGGGATGAAATTGTCTGCTCTGCACTGCGAATCACACCTGAAGACATTGCTAATCAACTCACTCTGCTTGATTTGCCTTGTTTTAAGTCTATCAGACCAGAAGAATTAACTACGTGTGGATGGAACAAATTGAACAAGTTGACGGTTGCTCCCAATGTGGTAGCATTTACCAAACGATTTAACAGGGTAAGTACCTAATTTTTTCAAGAACTATGCTTCTGTATATCTTTTTTGAACCGTAATCTTTCCCATTAAATGAACCCAAGGAAGTATATTTAAATAGGCGTTCAACATTGTTCATAAGTGATCATTACAAATGATAAGAATCACAATAAGTGACCTCATCTAGAGGGCATTCCTACATCGCTAAGAAGCTCCAACTTATGATGATTGCGATTTCCGCGACTGAATAGTTCATATCCTTTCGTCTAGATCCACTTATTGTAGGAAGACTTAAGGATTTAAATTATGTATAAAATGTGCGAAATGAAATGAGTAGAAGCATCTATTTTATTCTAAGTCGTCTCCTAATACAAGATGTTCGGTTAAGGGCTAGTGAACGGGTAGTTATAGTTTAATAATAAAACAGTACTCATTCAGCATCGCTGCTGCTGCGCAAAATCAGTAGCGATAAGCATACTACTTCCTATGTATGAAGTCATGACATTGAAACAATCATATTAAAAGTCAACAACGATTTGTAATAACATATAAATATTTTTTGTTCCCAGGTTAGTTTTTGGACTGTACAGGAAATATTGAATGGGCAGTCGCCAAAGGCACGAGCCGAAATATTGGCGCACTTTATAAAAGTAGGAAAAAAGCTTCATGAACTGAACAATTTGCACTCTCTATTCGCTGTTATCTCCGCGTTACATAGTGCCAGTATATACAGGTGAGGAAATACGAGTATAATGAATATTTACTAGAAATAATAATTAGAATAGGTAACTAACTAATCATAATAATCATTTTCCTAAAGAATAGTGAGTTTTTAGTCCTTTGAGTAATTTTAACCTTGTTCATTTACAGGCTATCAAAAACGTGGGCGTGTTTATCTAAAAAGGATAAACAACAGTTCGATAAACTCGCGGAGCTATTTGGTGAAAAGGACAACTGGACTGCACTGAGAGACTATTTAAGATGTATTCGTTTGCCATGTATACCATATCTAGGTAAGGAGTCCAGACATAAAATTACAATTTCAAATCAACAATTGAACTCTCTTCCGTAGTCCTATAGACATAGTCCATAGTAATGTAATTTTAATATATAAGTCTGAAGAGTATGTTTGTTTGGTCACACTGTAACTACTGGTTTGAATTGCATAATTCGTGTTGTGTTAGATAGTCAATCGATTGAGTAAGGGTATAGGTTACAAAATATCATGCTACAATCAATAGGAGCCGACGAGAGTGGGTGAAACCCCGCGGGGATTGTATTTATATTATGTTATAGTTAAAGTTTTATCTGTGGGGGTAGAATTGCACGAGAGACCTTGACTTGAAGGACAAATTCACCTATTAATAACAGTGTTCTCTCAAATCGATTGACATAGTTCTCACAAATTATCAATTCATGTAAGTCTTGTCTTTACGATACGCGACAAAGTTTTGCTATTGCAGAAATAAACCTTCACTAAAAGACACATTTTAACTATTTTAACGGCCGATTTCTCAATCATCAATTAATTCTTAACTGTGGAATAAAATTGACATTTGACAGTTATTAGTAGAGAAGAATTTTCAAAATTCTAAAGCTATTTCTCTGATAAAATTTAACTGAGTATTGAAAAAACAGCCCTTAGGCGATCAGGGACTAACTGTTTGATATGCATCTATGTAACATGACGCCTCAGCAGCAGCAGTGTTTCTGAGAAATTACTTGTGCTTGTTGTGACCTAGGTGTTACTCTGCAGTTTTGAGCGCGGTACCAATTTATTATTTATTTATTTTTATTTATTTAAAAAAACGTTGCTCCGCACTAGGATTTTCTCCTGTGTCGTGGGTGCGTTTACAAACATACAAGTTCACGTACACAATGACACCCAGACCCGAAACAACAATTTGTGGATCACACAAAGTGTTGTCTCGTGCGGGAATCGAACCCGCGACAAGTTGCACGGCAGCCAGTTGCCCAGCCACCGCACCAACCGTGCGGTCGACTATATGAAAATGAATGAATCGACTATATGTATATCTAAAATATGTCTTTATTTTTTCACACATTGATTAGTTCATCATCATCATATTTATTAGCCAAAACCCTGCTGAACATAGACCTCCTGTTACTGTGACTTCTAAATCGACCAGTTGGCGTTACTAGTGTTTGTCCTCATACGCAGCCGCGGAAGATCTAACGGGTTGCTCCGGGTCGTAGAGCAGGAGTAGGAACGGGGTGGGTTTAATCAGTAAGAGTCTGACACTCCCTCTCGCCTAACCCAAGTCATTGGATGATTTCCCCCCTAAAAAAGTGCTTGTCCTCGCTCTACAACCAATATTGGTACAAGTCGAACGTGGCTATTTATTTATGGACTAGCTTTTACCCGCGGCTTCGCTCGCGTCACAAAAGGATAAAAGTAGCCTATGTGACATATACCAATACACACAGCGCCATCTATACCAATAATTTCGTTTTCCCTCGAGAGTATAATTTTTTTCGGGATAAAAAGTAACCTATTATTTAATCCAGACTTCTAACTTTACGTCTGCAAAAATTCAAAGCAATCTGTGTAGTAGTTACGGCGTGAAAGCGGAACAAACAAAGAAACTCACTTTCCGATTTATAATATTAGTAAGGATTTGTGTCCACAACAAGAAGGTAAAGTAATGATACTTATTACTAACTGCATATAAATGGTAGGTACATAAAGTTTTTTTCGACTGTACTTCGCCAACAATTAGCGAGTATGTATGACGCGGTTTCGCTTTCCGTCGTCACTTGAGCCGTCTGAACAGTCTTCGCATAGGTTCGCCTTTTCAAATTTTCTCGTGATTTCCGGAAACGGGACAATCTAGCGTTCTAGAGTTTTTTTCGACGCTAAAGGGACTCGTAATTATAAAAGGGACAGTCGTGTTCAAAACGAGACGTCTGGTCACGTTATACAACACCTGACATACATGTACCTTATGTATAGTTTGTTCAAGTTCAAAGTCATATATTCCAGCCTGGTCAAGTTCAACCAAGTTACAATCAAGGTAGCGATGGCTACGAATATTTCGACCGCTAGCCTTGAGCTCTTATTGATCTATAATAATAATGAATTTATGAGATTGCTGAATTATGTATTATGTAGGATTATTGATCCAATTAGGCTTAAGATAGTCTGCTGTTATTTTGAAGGAGTTTCTATAAGAGATTACTGGTGCTATAATTCCCGGCACGAATGATGAATATACAAAGCGAAATCTTCATAGACTCCTTTTGTAAAGCAATGTGCCGTGTGCATATGAGATATACAGGGTGTAAACTTAAACTATAATTTAAATTCACACCAATGTATTTCACTAAATAAAATTGTTTTAAAAAAAGAAAACGGAACCCTACCGAATACGCAGACAATTTTGACAAATTTAATCGTTTTTGTTTTCGTATTATTCATGCTACATCAGCCATGCAGCCTTGAACAGTTGATTACAACTATTGTTGCATAAAATCAACATTTAATTCATTACTTTTTTTTTAAATAAAACTTGTTCTTTATTATCACCTGTCTGCGGTTTCGGGAGCGCTCCATTTACATCCTGTATTTACAGCATGTGACTGCGCAAAAAGCGAGCGCAAATTATTCAAAATTTATTTGAACAGTATTTATTTTTCGTGACAAATCAGTCTAAGAATGCCACGCAACTGTTTCACAATCTAATTTTCATGTTTTAATGTTACTTTTGTAATTACATCTTTACTTACTTGAATTTTTCGGACATTTTGAACGCGTTTTTTTAGTAAATTAGGCTTAGGTTTTAGTAATTTTGTGCATTAATTTATATAGTTAATTCTTATTTCATATGAGAGCATTTTATATTGACCTGTTTTTTGTAGTATCTGTTGTATCTATTTTATATTAGTTAAGGCTAGTTCTACAATTTGTAGATAACTACTATCTGTCAGACTGAATTTAGAAAGAGCAACATCTCTTTATCTGTTTATTAGGGTCACTTTTGATAGTGCTCGATAAGCTACTGAACGAAACACGAAGTATTAGTTTAAATTGTGATAACAATGTGTTAGTACATATATAAACAAATAGTTTCAATACCGGAAAGCGACATAAGTTCATAAGCAAATAAGTATTTATGTAATCACTTGCTACTGCCGCGTGGTTTCACCCGTTGCTCGGCTCCTATTGGTAGCCTTCCGCAATAAATGCACTGCCAATAAAAAAAAGAATTATTCACATCGGATCAGGAGTTTAAGAGGAGAAAACAAAAAATCTCTTCAGATTTACATAATATTATTACCTATGAAATTGCCGTTCTGCAGTAGGTACTGGTCATTCCATATCAAAATACATGGATTATTTTTCCAATAGTAGTCATTTGTTTATTGATTAGTGTTACATTTTCATCGCATTTCAATATTTTACTTCATCATGGATACGTTAAAACTTTGTATAATTATGGGGGACAAGTAGATACCATCGTGGCGGTAACGCGGCACAAGCGGTACACAAGATCAACACTACAAATCAACGCACTACTTGTTATTGGTTTGCTCGCTTCCGTTCCGGAAATTTCGATCAACAATGAACCTCGCGGACCGCGCTCATCCGAAGACTTTGGTCGACAATGACGAATTAAAGGCGGTTGTGGAAGCTGATGAGACAAGATCTACGGCTGAATTAGCAATAGCTTTCGACGTTAGCGTCAAAATAGTATTAGTCCATTTACGTCAAATTGGCAAGATAAAAATTCTTGACAAATAAGTGCCCTACGAACTCAATGATCGTCGAAACGTGCCTTGCACTGCTCAACAGATACACAAATGAAGGAATTTTGAACCACATTGTTGCCTGCGATGAAAAATGGATTCTGTTTTATAACCGCAAGCGCTCAGCAAGTTGGTTGGATCCTAGTTCAGCGCCTAAACAATGGCCTAAACGAAAACTTAATCCTAGAAAAGTGATGGTCACAGTTTGCTGGTCTAACGCTGATGTGATTCATTACAGTTTCTTAACAAACGAAGTGAGCATTACTGCAGATGTGTACTGTGAAGAACTGAACACAATGATAGAGAAGCTGGCACATCTCCAACCAACATTGGTCAAGCGCTCGTCTCCGCTGCTCCTGCACTACAAAGCGCGACCTCATACTGCACAGCAGACGGTCTCAAGAACTGGAGTTGGAAGCTCTCCATCATCCGCCATACTCACCAGACCTTGTACCTAAAGACTACTACTTTTTTCCAGAATTTGAATAACTTCTTGTCAGGAAAAAATTCAATAACCGTGAGGCATAACAAAATGCCCTTGAAGAAGATGCTGTCTCAGTCCAGCTGATTTCTTTAGAAGGGCATTAAAAACTGCCACTGCGTTTGCAAAGAAGCATTGATTGCATGGTTGTATACTTCATTTAATTTTTTCATACAAAACGGCGATTTCGTAGATAGGTATAGACTTATTAGTTTTAATTAGATGGATCCCGTTACCAACCGGCCGATCTGACAATTAATAGGCTAGCCCTATATTCAGTAGTCGACTTTTTGAATGTGGCTTATAAAGCCACATACAAAAAAATTTAGATTTTTGAAAATCTCATCATCATATATATATGTATTTCTATCGGATGGGTACGTCACATTAAATGTAAGTGATTACGACAAGTGATAACAGCTTTACCAACTTAATAAAGTTATAAGTACTGCACTGTTGACTATTAAGTCAGCCATTAGGCTGGACAACTGGTTATTGCTCAACGTGTCGCTAACACAAATCGCACTATTTGTGTGACTAGGAGGATAATCATTATATTTAAGCACCATCCAAAGGTTTATTGTATGATATCGCTGCTAATAAAAATACTACTCTTTCCTATAAATATTATTTTAAATAACAGTCGGACGAAGAATTGTTTCAATAACAGCTTTCAATTTCATGATTCATAACAACGACTCACCAACTGTTATGTAGGAGTCGTTACATAAACGATGAAAATAGGACTTATATAATTGTTTCACCTTTGTGGAGTGAAGGATTAATATAAGATTTTTGTTAAATAACAAAACTATTGTTGAACAATTTAGAAACACGTAACAAACGAAATATAATTTATGTCACAAAAATCTGTCAATGTTACGGCCAGTTTGATCGTGGTGGGGTATATTTTTGGATTGTGTATTGTTTCATTATTTCGTATCTGGTTACATCTGCGCGGGTTTACCTGCTCGACTCCTATTGATCATAGTGTGATGTTTTGTAGCATAAAACCTTCCTCTATAATTGGACTATCTAACACAAAAATCCTTACTTCCTTACTTATATATATATTATTAACATTATAAATGGGAAAGTGAGTTTCTTTGTTCGTTCCGCTTTCACGCCGTAACTACTAAACCGATTGCTTTGAATTTATGCAGACATACAGTTAGAAGTCTGGATTAAATAATGGGGCACTTTTAATCTCAGAAAAATTTGATATTCTCGAGGGAAAACGAAATTATTGGTATAGTTGGCGCTGTGTGTATAAGTATATGTCACATGGGCTACATTTTATCCTTTTGTGACGCGAGCGAAGCCGCGGGTAAAAGCTAGTAATTAATAAATTTGAACCAGTAGTTCATGAGACAGCGCGTTCAAACAAAAAAAAAACAAACGAACTCTTCAGCTTTATTATATTATAGTATAGATTTTAGTTTCACGACCAATTACCTATTCTTACTTCTTATTCTTCTCTTTCTTATTACTTTCTTTCCAATAGAAATGTTTAAAAGTAAACACATAACACATCACATAACATAACGCCTTTTATCCTCGAAGGCAGGCAGAGGTGCACATTATGCCACTGTACAATGTTACACCCACTTTTCACTATTTATGTTATGAGTCCCATGTAATAGGGTGTGAGCCTATTGGTGCAAAATTCCAGACTCCGTGCTACTACTGAGGTTTTTAAAAACCCAGTTATACTTTGCCCGACCCGGGAATCGAACCCGAGGCTCCATGTCCGGCAGTCGCAATGAGGCAGATTAAAAGTAAATATGGTATATATAAAGTATATATATATAAAGTAAGTATGGCAATATGTGTGCATAATGTATTTTTTTATCATTCCTATTCATCCCGCGAGTGTCATTAGGAGTCGACTAGGGACTCGACTGAGGCTAGACAGGGGTGTGCTTCTGTTCGCTTGCCAACCATGGAGTTTATATATTATAACAAACACCTTCTTTTGTTTCGTAGAGGAGACCTATAGTCCAAGCTCTAAACTCTCCCGGTTTGTTGATGATTTCGAACATAACTTTTTCTTCAACAGGTATTTTCCTGACGGATCTCGTGTATATTGATATCGCGCACCCCCCGGATTCACCCCACCGCGTGGCTAAGATGGCAGTCGTGTTGAAAGCGCTGGAGAAGTACCAGACTTCAGAGTATGACATCCTGCCTCTACCCCACGTAGCGAACTACCTGAACAGTGTCCGATATATCGAAGAGTTACAGAAATTTCTAGAAGATGATCAGTACAAGTAAGTGTTCTATTCTATTTATGCATGTTAAGACCATACTCGATGCGAAAAGATAGAAGGATAAAAAAGAAATTATACTAATAAATAAAACTTCCAAATATGAAACTAGAAAACAAGACATATTAAAAACCACTTTGGACCTTAGGTTAAGTTAGTGGTAAGGTAAGGTAAGGTTAGGTTAGTGGTAATCCAGATATTGGAACAGGCCATAAGTGTTGAGAGGACATTAATTAGTAATTTTTTTACTTATTGGTTTCTTAAAAAACTTAATGATAGTACAGAGTGTGAAAATTTGACTTGTCTTGGCGATAGGTTCGCTTCCTCTGTTATTATAATGAAGTTGTAAATTAGAAAAACGTTACAGTATGAGAAATAATGTAGTGAGAAAATGTAAAAAATCACCAAGTTTGAATCAACATATATCTTTTGTTGTTTTTTTTTTAATAAAATGAAAACTGCAAGCAGTCAAATACATGACCCGCTTTTTTGGAGTATGTAATAGATATGGGAGTTTTTATATTTCTTGTTTGTGGCCAGGACGTCTCCAGAGTTCTGTAATTTCTATTATTGCTCTATTTTTTCGTATGACATGGTTTTTATATTTGTTACGCGATTCGTACTTTTGTTAATTATAATCTTTAAAGCCGCTGCTGTTGCGTAGATTTTGATATTTTATTGATACCACGTCTCCAAAAAAAGGGATTGGTAACTAATTGAATATTTTATAACACAAATACCATCTTGTTCACATATACAATAGAAGTTTTGCCCAGAAACTGAGTTCAGAAACTTTTAGTTCCCAATAACGTTACTAGATGGCGTTAGTCGCGACAAATTTAAACAGTCGTGTCACTGTTTCGCGTTGTGTACGAATACAATTTTTAGCTTGTTTTGCTTTTACTTTCTTTTTATGCTTTAATATGATGATGATGTTACTTTTTGTATCTGATTTTAATAATGAGGATTCCTAAGTACAATATCTATTGGGTCGTTTAGATAAAAAAAGCTTTAATCTCATTTTAATTTATTGGATAATAAGTTCTGTAATAGTTTGGGAGATTTTGAATTAAAGAAAGCTGTGTGGTAACGGTAGGGTAGAATATATTTGTCACCATCACCACTTCTACTCTTCCGTCAGATATCTTAAAGGCTAACTAAGGGACTAGACATTTTACTGAGAGAGACAGAGCAGTAGTGTTCTCTGGTAAATAAACTTAAACTCTTTAATACGTTGATATATCGTACCGAAATCCCCAAAATTTGTTCATACAAAAGTAGTCTCTAAACATCGGAAATAAGGTCTATGATGGTGTTAGTGGTCACCGGTGCAGATTTAGCAAAAGCTAGTTATTAATATTAACGTTGTTAGTCCATGGTTATCCTTAATTCTAACCCTACGAATGTGGATTGTAGAATTAAATCCCTGCCGAGGTTTTCCCAGTAAGCAACAAGAGAGTAAATAGGTTTTCCAAGAGTCGGCAGGGGGCATGTAAATACCCCAAGTGTTGCAAGCTATCTTTTACCATGGCAACCACTTACTATCAGATGGGCCGTGTGCTCTTTTTGCCAACGCCATGGTATGAAAAAATTATCACATTGATCATATTCCATTAAAAAAAAGTAAAGTCCTTCATCATGAAAATGATGCATTGTGACCTTTATTGTGATATTTGAAATTATCATTATTAGCGCAATGTACATGAAGTTTGATATGACCCATGACACGTTATAACTTTATGTAACCGTTACGTTACATAAGTAAACGTACCATTCCGACATGGCAGAAATTTTCCAATCCAAAAATTTATTTTCTCACCATTATTCCTTCCCTTGATTTCCACGAACATTTCAAGAGCAAAATTAGCCAAATTGGTTTATCCGATCTCGAGTTTTATCGAGACTAACGAACGGCAATCATTTTTATTTATATAGATAGTCCAGGGTGCTTACTCTTGAAACCAATCTCATAGTCAATGCAATTTCAATTCAATAAAATCTCAATAATTATTCAATGTCAAAACTATACAACACGTAGCTGTGTAGCAACACGTAGCATTAAGAGTACGGAATACAAAAGCCAAACTCAATATCATTTAGTTCATTAACTCGTCGAGTACCGTCATTATAGACACAATTATAGAACAATAAGGTGCGGTCACCGGTGACCGCTTGGTGCTTGACAGTTTAAATATCCACGCAATACGGATGCAATGGGCACTAGCGTTGCAACTCAAGAGTACGAAATTTCACAATACCAATGCCGATCGGAATTGGATTCAAGAGTAAGCCTCCAGTACTGAAGTCCATCCTGTGCATGTACATCATGGGATAGTTTGTCATAATCTCTACGCTTGACAGGCGGGTTTGAGGTCGCAATATGAAAGGGTCAGATTTATTTATCATAGAGTGCTGTCAAATATTAGTAACTAAATAATAGTCACTCGGTTACACCTGTTGGAAGAATAGGTCAATCAACCACCATGTCATTTTTAACATAAGTTGTAATAAAGGCTGTTAAAACTGGGAAAAATGTTTAGAAATACTAAATAAATGACTTCACGGTTAGTGCGATAGCGGGGCAGCCGGCTACGCGCAATGCGTTGCGGGTTCAATTCCCGCACACAACAACTCTTTGTGTGATCCACAAATTGTTGTTCCGGTTCTGGGTGTCATGTGTATGTGAACTTGTATGTTTGTAAACGCACCCACGACATAGGAGAAAATCCTAGTGTGGGGCAACGTTTTAATAAACAAAATATACCTCTGCTCACACATCTAGAAAATTACAAGCGAAGGTGTTAAACGTTATTAATTTAACACTAAATTAAGCTTTACACTGTCGGAACAAGTTAACAAAGTTATATAAGTTTCGCGCGCGTAAATTAGTTTCAGAAAGTGAACTAGATGGCATTAGTAATTATACTATCTTTAGTATTTATACTTTATATTTTAGTAATTATACTATCTTTAGTATAATAACTAACTTTTACATTACATTACATAACATTACGCCTTTTATCCTCGAAGGAGTAGGCAGAGGTGCACATTATACTACTGTACTGTACTATGTAACACCCACTTTTCACTATTTATGTTATGAGTCCCATGTAATAGGGGGTGAGCCTATTGTCATATACCGGGCACAGTTCTAGACTCCGTGCTACTACTGAGAATTTTTAAGAAACCCAGTAATACTTTGCCCGACCCGGGAATCGAACCCGAGACCCCTTGCCCCGCAGTCGCAATTGCGACCACTCGAACAACGAGGCAGTCACTAATTTTTGTGATAAAATAAATGTAAACTGATGCTCAGAGATTTTGTAGGTGTATTAAGTTAGATACGTCGCAGTGGCCTGTAGGTTTCATGCCTGCTTCTCATTTATGAGGGCGTGGTTTCGAAACCTCGCAAGTAGCAATGTCATCTTTCCGAGTTAAGATTGAATAGACACTAGTGACATAATAAAGGAAAACATCGTGAGCAAACCTAGGCTTATAATTTATAATCCCCAACCTGCATTGCATAGCGAGTGTGGTGATTAACGCTCAAACCAAACCGTGTGAGAAGAGAAGAGGCTTTGCTCGACATTGTGAGTGGCCACGGCCTATAAATGTAAAAGCTGCTGCTGATGATTTTGATAATTAGATCGATTTTCGACAGAAATTAATGTCAGAAATCTACAGGTTTTCAATTTAATTTGGGTTTAATTTGGCCGTAAGTTATTAATGTGCGGAATATTCCTATCTTAGATCAGGCAGACAAGACTAGGCTTTCCGATATAAAAAAATGCAATAACACAGAATCTGAAGTTGTATACTGTGCATAGTAAAATACTTGGTTTTTTATTGTCATGTCTAAGTGTAACTTGACAGACAAAAATACGTTACATTGATATATGTATATGTAGATAAGTACCTGTCCTCTGCTTACCTAAAACCTTGAATGGACCAGCTCGACCGGGGACCTACCGCACTCTCATTCTTAATAGGATGGGTACAGCGTGAAGTAGTAAAGCAATGTTGCTAGGCTTCCGCTAGCAAGAGAGTTCCGGATGGTCCGACTGTATTTGATTGCGCCATCATTAGGAAAACATTCCTTTTTGATTAGGTACATAACATAAAGCTTGCAAAACCTAAGTATTACCTACCATAAGTGGTACCTAAATTGGTTTTATTTTATAAAAGTTTGAGCATCATTTAAATTTTTTGATAACAATTTTGATGTGTCGAATGGGTAAAAAATATTGGCATTAAAATTGAATGTGCGTAGAATATATATACCAGAACATCAGACCACAAAGGGTTTAACAATGCATTTATATGCATCTGGAGCTGTAGCCGTTCACAGAGCGACGGCCAATTACTGTGCCCCAGCAATGCATCCGTCAATCTTCATATTCTAGAATTATACACAAGAACATAATTCTGTTAGCCGAGGCTCGCTTCAACTGCAATCACGGCACTTGTTTGCTATTCTTCGATCCCAGTTAGTAGCTAATCCTGCACCCGTAAGGTCCAAACGTGTGCGCTTACTACTACCAAGGGTAAGCCTTCAACAAAAAAATTAATTATTCATATTCTTTCTTTTCTACTTTTGTTTTATTTGCGCAAAATGCTGGTGCGATTTTATTTTTTTTTATATTTTGCTGTTTTTATGCGCGCTCCATTCTTTTTACTTGCGAATTTTATTTCATATTATTTAAGTTGGGCAAGATTTCGCGATGGAATTCGGTTCGTTTAAATGTTTAAAAGTATTTATTTTATACAAAAATGCGCTGGAAGATATTAATATGGAATTTTATTACAGATTATCGTTAAAATTAGAGCCACCTTCGCCGGTCGGGAGCTGCGCTGGTTCCAAGGAGTCAGTCAAAGAAGTCATCGCTTCGGGAGCTTCAAATACCACTAACATATCACCTTCACACAAAGTAGGCTCCGGCTCGCTGCGTCTCCAGGGCTCTTGTCACCAGGGCAAGTTTATCCCCACACATCGGAAGTGCCGGTCGCTCGGTTCCAAGTACGTTACTTCCATTTCATATTACTAATAATAATTTTGTGTCTAATATTTCATAATTCCAATTAACACTCATGCTACTTTGTAGAGTCCTGTTCAATCTGGAAATGCTGAAAAATGAGTTTCTTCTCACTCGTAATGTCATTGAAACATAAACATTATATTCGGTATTGAATAATTTATTTACCTGTTTCTACAAGTAGTCTTTATGCTAATTTTGGGCTTTGGGGTATGCTTTCTATACTTATTTCTCATTTACACTACATATTCTTCCTTCTTCATGTGGTCATCTGGAAAAGCTAAATTGCTGAATTAATTGCTTGAAAACATTTGGGCCTTATCATCATTGTAAACGTATTTGCTGAAAAACAAATCAAGACATTTTTATTGTAAAACCTATCGTCTTTGGTTCGTCGTATCGATCGATACGCCAATTACGATCTAATTGTAATAAAAGTCGAATCTCCGAATCGAATCGAATTTCCCGATATGCAGACGATACTTTCAGGTCATACAGAAACCAGTATTCTAGTTTGGTATTTCGAAATCGAATATACGACAATTACTTGTATAATCAGAGAATTGAATCCAAGGTATATTTGTTCGACAGTTGCAATTACAAGTTGTCAACGAGTCTAGATTAATACTAATTTAGTCTTAGTCTGTATTTACTGAATGCGACAAAGCGATGCGATCTTAATTACATTTAGCTCAAATTACGATCTAAGCGAGACTTCGCAAGATGCTCTTAGTACGCACATAATGAACAATTATGTTGTCGTATGTTACAATCCAATTTCCGAACCAAGATACAATAGATGAACTAAGTAGATTGCTCAATATAATATGTGAATGTTGAATCTCGTTTCGAAACGAAACTACCATTTGGTAACATCGCATCGCTCACGCCCAAACAACTATTTTGAATATTTTATTCGGTAGATTAACAAAATCTCTATTTTTGTAGGTGTCAGGTCAGTGAAATTAAAGTCTAGATGCTGGAAATTGGAGCAAAATTTTACTATTCTCAGCGGAATTGTTTATAAATGGCTCTTTCGCAGTTATATCACAGACCAAGCATAGTATATTTTTATGTTTCCATTTTGGGATAGATCAAAATTTTACTGTTTTTTATGAATGGCGAATTATTTGGTAAACATCCGTTAGTATAGAAATTACAAATTAATATACTCCATAATATTTGTGTAGAGTAAATAAGTAGGTGTTAGTGGCATTCAGTAAATATAACATTATCCACTAACTCAATATAGAATGTCGGGTTACAATTAAATTCGATAAAACACTATGAAAATTGAGTTGTCGGTCTCAGTACTTTTCACATTAGTATTAAATAGGATCTATTCAAAGGTACTAGTAGTTAGGAATCGTTAAATCAACTATTTAGGTCACTGGAATATATTTTTAATGAAATAGTAAGCTGCTGTTACACACAAAGCCGGATTCAATTTGTTGTCAGCGAGTAATATTCTGTATTAATCCTTTTGGAATTGTTTACGATTTATGCTAATTGACACAGCGAAGCGCTATCGAACAAAGTGATTGGATTAATATGAATGAATGTAAAAAACTTCCATTCTTTTTTACTACGGAACTTCTCCCAGTATATTATTATTCACGTCTATAGAATAAAAGTAAAACATAAAACCGTATCAGCAAGGCTTCAAATTATCACTTTACTATGGAATATTATATGGAGTACATTTTTCAACTATCTCAGTCTGAAAGTTTAAGTAGGTACTCGATATAACATGTTGTAATGTTAATATTGAGAACTACTGAATACGGAAAAGTCAGCCGAAATTAATAAACTTAACTAAATATATTTTAATGCAAATCTCTCGATCTTACTAGATTTTTTACAGAAATTTTATTTTGAGTGTGCGATGCTTCGATACGTATGGAGCGACTCAACCTGAGTAATAAATACCACGGCCTCACAAAAAGCTGGCGTCAAATAACACTTGCTTTTGCCGCCCTATACCACAAAAAATGAATTATACCAAATTAACCTTCATTTAAATGTTTCGGCTGTGTGTGCAATAACGGCATTTACTTACAAAAACCTTGTCATGTCTGAAATTCTTTCACGAATGACGAAGCATCACATTGAGTTCACGTTCACAATATAACTAAATGACAGGGTTACCTAGGTTAGACTTTCAGTTATTATGCCCGTTAACGTGTGGAAAAGCACTTATTGGACATAATATATTATAACGTTACATTCCTGTTTCGATTAGTTTCAATAGGATTAATAGGTGTAACACCGACCAGAGGCGAAGCCACAAGTATTTAATTTAATTCATTGTTTTGTTTATAAATCGAAACAAAACTGTTTGCGATGTATCATTTAACCCTAAATGATATATCGCAGTTTTATATTTTTTTGCTTGTCTCATCATAAAATTCATACGATGAAATTATATATTCAAATATTGAAGTGATAATGAAAGCAACATTAATTTGATTTGATTAGTGAGAAGTGGTAACGTCGAGTCTTCTTTTAGTCTTTGTTAGTTTGAGGTAACCAAGACTAAAAAGAGGTCTCGTCATTTTATAAGAGACAAATCGATTTACATAAGATTTTATTTATATACAATACAAAACACGCTCAAAAGAAACTCTAAATAGCTTCGACAGTCACTAAAATTGCATCTATATTCTTTGAAATACGTATAACGAAAATGCATGAATCGTATTTCTGAATAAACATCTGAAACTAGCTCGTCTCTACTTCTATATTGAATCAAAGTTCTTGTGTGAATTGTTCAAAGTCCGTGTCGAATGTAATATAACATCCTGCTTCGGATTAATTGTATTGTGAATCTGTTATCGGTGCAATTGAATATGATTGCAAAATTACAGCGGTGCGCCTGACAAAGGAGGCTGGGAAGCAACGTGATGCACGCCGGGATAAAATGACTTGATCGTAGCTCTTTGTCGCGAGTACCTACTGTGTGCAATTGTTGCAATGCTAGCTTTATTACTTATTGTTACACTTTGCGAGGTCATTGCACCAAAGTATCCTACAGATACGAGCAGTTTTTATATTTTATCGTCGGTTACGTGAATGTACACGAAATTAAACGATTTCACACATCGTTAAACAAAACGTACAGAACAAACAAATTACACACATTACGAATACTTATCGGAGTAAAAATTTAAATTTCCGCGCTAATAAATCCCGATGGAAGCCGATATTAATTGGCAATACACTGCTTAAAGCCTGGAAGCTGCTAATGGATTAAAACCACTAATTACATATTTTATAATAGGATTTATAATAGGATAATATAATACGTTTAGATAGAGAGTATTAATTTCCCAATTGTTTTCAAAACCGTGTCGTACATAATACCTACAAAATTTCATAATACCTACTAATAGCATTTAGTGAGCAGATTTATCAAACATTTTTCAAGAAATTAATTATCTAATAAGATTTACGGCTCAAGAATGTAGAACTATTATTACTATTTTTTTTAGATTAGGTATTTTTTTCTAAAATTACCGTTTGTACCTTTCAGTTGTTAAGATATGCACAAAGTAAACAAAGTTATTTGAATACAATTATCGATAACTGCAGTGGACTGATAAATTGGCGTTTCAATTATACCTGTCCGGCAAAGTGTAAAGGAAAACTTTCCATCACGGTACTGTTTGAACAGAGAAAACGTTGAAAATCAAGTGACATTATTTCCGATTCAGATTGGACGTATTCTTTTTGTGATGCAAATTCAATTTGTTTCCGTATTGTTTGAGATCTGGGGTGAGGTTGAAAGATACATGAAATATGTAAATAAAAAATAAACTTGGCTACTTGCAGATTAAAAATGTCGCTTTGAATCAGGTCTGTTTTCTTTTTTTGCTTTGAGAGAATTAATTATAGTCGAGTATGTGCCATGTTTGTCCTAATTAAAATTCTAAGATAGCATACAACGTATATGCCCAGCGACCGACCACAGGAATTTGCGCTTTGTGTATCAAAGACTGATTTAATTAATATTTTCTGTAAAGGAATGATATTTCTTGGTTTTTCTAGTCAATTAAGAAGTTTATTGATTTACACTGAAATTAAAATATTTTGTAAAGTCTACAATATTACTATAACTTTAGAAAATATCTTGTTGGGTAACTTAACTTCGAAGTCAATTAATGGCTAGTTTGATGTTATTGAGCTCGCAAAGTCGTGACTGTTCGAGTTGAGGTGCAATGACCGATAAGGGGCAGTAATATGTACATGCAAAGTAAATTGTTTAGTTTCGGGCTGTGCAATTAAACATCATCAGTCACATAAACAAACTTAGATTAATAACTTCGTTCATTTCTATATTGGATTAATACCGTTGTATTGTGTAGTAATCTTGTAAAACACATCTCAAATATAATTATTAATATAATATCTGTTATATTTTACGGAAACATTGCATCCATACGAGTTATAAATCCGCAATATGTTTATTCAAAAATAAATTATTGTAATACCGAAATATAATGTGTTATTCTTATGGTTAGGGATGTACATTTTTCAGTAAACAGATTTCTTTTACATGTTTGTCTAATTTTATTCGCTCCCTCACCATCCACTCATTGTTTTTGGTTTTGATATTTCGTAAGGAATATCAACAAACACAATTGGCACAAAATTATGTAATTAAATCTGAGATCGAAATTGGTTAAGGTGATATATATTTGTCACAACGTTGAGACATAATCATGTTTTATTTAGATATATAATTATATATAAATTATTATAATTATGTACAGTGTATTTTTTCTCTTGCGATTGGGACCTAGGTTTCGTAGCGCGAGCTTGCCAAGAAATTTTCACAAGGTCAATTTTGGTATTGGGTGAGTCTTTTCCTAGTTAATGGACACGAAGGCTTGCGTTGTTCTGTAGACATCGATTGTATATGATATGTATATTATCCAAATGATTGTAGAAATAAAACCGTAAATTTAAGCATGTTTTCTTTTTTTACGTTCTTGTGTTTACCTGGCACAGTTTTCGAAAATTACGTGATCTCCAATCATACTCATACCTACCTCATGAACTTAAAATAAGTTTTAATTTATTGCCTAATAAATATATTAAAATGAAGCGTAGAGGTCCACAATATATGTGTCATACTAGCAACCACATAATATCGGATTTACAACAACAAATTGGTAACTATCAGTTTCAGAGAGTGCGACGTCAAAGCATCACAATACAGGCGTCCATCACTGTGTGGAACGATCAAATATAATTACTAGTATAGACAGATTAATTCGCTTGAAATTCAAGCTTGCATTCCGTCATATTGACGTTTCAACCTAGTTATAATGTTCTATGCATATGAAATGTTTAATTTACCTAACATAGACTGGACGAAACTTTGTCTATTATTTGTTTAACACAATTCCTAACACCCGTATCGTAAATATGAAAATGTAGAGGTAATATGTTTATGTTTACATGGTTGGACCGTAGTTTCGATCTTTGTGCACAGGTTATTTTTTTAGGAAGGCATTTTGGAACACTGATAATGATTGGTATGCGTAATGAATGGACTAAATAAATATCTACAAACGATACAACTTACTAATTCCACAAATTAAAAAAAACCCTTTTAAAGATTCATTGTAAAATTAGTATAATTTTCAACGTTCAACGTGCCTTCTTCGTACATCGTCATAGTATAAACAAATTAATAGCATAAGGTCAAGATCTTAGGAAGGCACCAACGAAATGAGTCTCATACAAAATACGTGAAAACATGGATCAAGAGTAAAATAGAGACATTTATATAAAATATCTCTATTTCGATCATACTTATGTTGCTAAAGAAATAGTTTAAGGTCTTAAACCAGAATATACGACTTGATGAAAAATATAAGAGATACGATCTAAAAATGGCTGCGAGTATTGTGAGATATTGTTCGTTCGTTCGTCGCACGCGGACAATGCATTCTGTGTCTCTAAAACACGTCTATTGTGGTCAGCACATTTTATTCATTGCTGCAGTGAGACGACAATACTTCGAAAACTTTCTCGAACATTTTGAATGTTATGGCACATAAGAAATTTTGTGATATTGTACTAAAAGTTCATTCGATAAAGATTTTGTTAATGATTTGGATCATTAATTAACGAATTCAGTCATTATGTACGCGTAAAAGAAAATAAATGGAAATGTCGTCCCAGTTTCATGTCAGGTGCAACAAACATGTTATACGTACAGTACAGTACAGTAGGTAAATATGTTCTGTTTGCATAGAGTTTCCTTTCGGGAAATTGCGGTTCCATGAATACATAGTTCATCGGGTCGAACGTTTCTGAGGAACATGTTATTACAAATTCTAGTTCTATGTTCCAGTTAATAGATATGTCGTTACGCACTATGAATAAATGTTTTGGTAAAACAATACCTATTGTGAGTGTTTGCTATCATTTTTGCGAAAAGGGTGTGTTTGTTGAATACACAACGCGCCCACCCAAAATCGTGCTATTTTATGAATAAACAGCATCTGAACTATATTTATATGGTAAATAATTTGAATGTAACATTTAGGTAGTGATTATATTTTTATTTAGCGTAGGTACGAAGGCCACAGTGGGGCTGCGTCGGCTGCACTGTATTGTACAATAGAATAGATGTGTACCGATTTAGACTTGCATCAATCTTGTATGAACGTTGATGCCCAACTTCCGTTTCTAGTTAATGCTAGTTTCATACTATGCTCTAGTGGATTCAACTGGCTCGGGATGTAGTTGCGACAAGTTTTATCGAGTTATTTAAATTGTAAAACAAGCCTATCTATATAATGTTGCAAATATATATGTTCGCAATAAATATTTCAAGTGTTCTTTTTTATTAAATGGCCCAGTCTGTTTCTGTTTATTCGTAACAGACAATTGTAAGTGAAACAATTACGCTGTCGGTGCTTATTGACAGTTCGGATAGAGTTCTCCCGGAGCGCCGGTGGGCATATCAAATCAGATAACAGCTACCCTGCAGGATACTGTTTACGAACTTGATTGCATGTCTGAAACTGGCTTTTTGTTTACCCTGTGTTCATTCGGGTTTCGTAAATCAACAATTTCGGGTCATTTTGTAAAGTAAATATTTAATTATTTCATTTTCGAGAAATTGGGAATTGACAGTTGATAACTTTAAAACACAAATGAATTTCAAGCAAGCTGACATCTTTGATTCCATTTATCAGAAAGTAATAAATGTAGTTAAAACGTAGTTATTTAAACTGAGGAACTGAACTAAATTGGACAGTCCTACTTACTTAGTAGAGCGGCGAGATACGTACTTAGTAAGTCTACAATATGACATGAATCGTATTTTCAAGAGATCTAAGAACAATTTATTAGTCTTATTTTTATAGGTATATTTTCAAACAATTAGTTTTTTTTTAATAATGTGGAATAATAGTTTGATTTAATTTAGAGTTAAGATATTGTACCTAAATTCTGCCTTATGCTGAAACAGATTCATATAACTAGCAGTTATATATGTGTGTTAAAACATTTTAGAGTATCTTTTGTAATTAGTCTTAAAGATGATTATGTCTATCGGACGTCGGCGAACAATTATGTAATTATTTTGATGCTCGCATGGAATTGCTATTTTGTATTTAACATTTCCATTTTCACAGTTTTTAATGTTGGCCGTTAGATTAAATGTTGTACATTATAGTGTGTGCAGAACTTGTGATGCTTCGTGTTACCATGAAACCTGCCGCTACGTAGTGCGTTAGCAATCCTATAGTATGAGCTTATCTGATTTAATCCTTAGCAGTAGATATCAAGCACTAGAATGCTTTGAACGAAACGATTTTTGCAATAAACCCGTGCCACAAGTCTGCTAATTCACTTATTCCGATTCGTCTTTCTGTTACCATTTCACAGACGCATGCCACTGTGTCATTGTTGTAACAAAATTTCAATCTATTTGTGCTTATGATTTAATATTATACCAAAACTAACAAAATTAACCCTTGTCATATCCACTGGATTGCGTATTGGCATAAAAATAATATATTTAATGGAAGCGTTTTACCTACCAATAAAACGCATATTAATTTACTTACCTTATTCGAAGCTTATTTAATTGAGAGATAGGCCTTCCGCTTCCCTCCTTCCTCTTTTCCTGTATGTCTATCTCTTTCTACTACGTCACTTCCATTTGGCAGTGGTGGGGAGGCTTGCTAAGAGAGACTCGCCATTTTTATTTCATTGAGTCTCATTACCAGGCAGAGCTTGACTATAAGCTTCGAATAAGGTAAGTAAATTAATATGCGTTTTATTGGTAGGTAAAACGCTTCCATTAATTTGACTTGACCGTTATTCGAAGCTTATTTAATTGAGACGTGTTTGTTATCGCCTGGTGGAAGTGACAGACGCCAATGTGAGGTAGTATGACTGCGTTGACCGCAGTCGTACTACCTGGTATGATGTGGTAAAATCACAGAATAGAAAAACTAAGAAAAATAGCAAATATCTAAAAACATATACATGTTTTGATGAAAGGTATTGAATAGAAAACCTGTTATTTTTAATTTTTTCAATAATAATTGTATTTGATCTGAACAAAAACAGATGTTATATATTTCTGAGGTATTTTATTGCCTCGTTTCTAATTTTCTAATCGTCTGTATTGAATAAAAAGGTGACATACAAAGGCACACACATCTTAGAAAGGATCGCCTCAAAAGGATAACTATCCACTAAATTTTTTCAGATCACAGCTGATCTGAAACCCTCAGGATATCTTGGGGGATTACTGATATCTTAATATCGGTTACCACCAAGAAGGAACTTTATCCTGACCGCAATTA